GACAGGCGCTGACCTTCAGGAGAGTGAGAGGCGCACGGGCGGGTTGGGGGAGAGGGCGGTGGAAATTGGCCGGGAAATGGGGGGCTGGACTTGACCACGAGACAGGGCGGGTTGACCAGCAGAGGGGGTGAGAGTGACCACCACGACTGGGCGTTCAAATTGGACCAGAGTCTGGAGGCGAAGCTGACCCGGAGATGGGGGGGGTGGGGATTGTCGCAGGGGTCACCGCAGCGAGGCTGACACAGAGGAAGAGAGAGGGAAGCAACGCCGGGGATCGCCCCCCCCCCCCCCGAGGACTCCCCAGGGGCACTGATGGCAGGATGGGGAGAGGGCTGGGCAGCTGGCCCGGGGAAGGGAGATGGTATCTGCCTGGCGAGTGTCCTCAGCATCTGTCCCTTTGTGGCTTCTGGGGAGGGGGCCGGGAGGGGGACGGAAATGGGGGGTCTGCTGGGCCTGGCGGCAGCTGCAGTGTCTGGGAGCGAGGACACTAGAGGTTTGGGGGAGGGAGAGCGGCCACTTCCAGAGCCAACACATTTGCCCTCGTTCCCCATAAGGGCTTGCTTGGTCCCCTAATACTGGACCGAGGACGGGGTGGTCAGGAAGGGTGGGATCCCAGATTTCCTTCTCCCAGCCCCCCAGGCTGGGCAGGTGCTTATGGCGTGGAGAGGAGGGAAGACCCGAATTCAGAGCTGACGGTGCTGTGAGCTGCCCCTGGGAAGAGCAGGGGGCTAGGGCGACTGAAAGGGGCAGCAGTAGAATTTGGGGAACCAGCTAGTACTGTGAGAGACATTAACCCTGCTCTGTTAACCGTGACTGTTTTATTCTGATGAAAGAAGGCACATTCCACCCGGACTGGAGCTGACCCGGGGATGCTGCCCTTCCTCCCCATGTGGAGCTGCCTGTTATCATGGAAAGATGAACAATTTTGCTGCAGAAACCGGGATCGCCAGCCCTTTGAAGGTCCCCAGCCCTTTTGCACACCCGCAGGCCTTTGCAGACCTCCAGCCTGTACCTGTTAACTGCCCATCTGGCACTCCTTCGGCTATTTCCGCATGATGCACCCCAGCCCCTGCATATCACGAAGCCCTTTGAAGACCCCTAGTCCTTTTGCATATCTGTGAACGGCCCTTTTGCCTACTTCTCCTTTGTACTTTCACTATATAAGCAACTGGCTCAGGGTGGAGTGCAGAGCAGGTTTCTGTGGCTGCTGTAAAGGGGAGACACACATGCCCTCTTCCAGGCGCCTTGCTCAGTAGATTCCCCAGGAAGGAGGGGGAGGAGGAGGGTCAGGTGTGCCCCTTGGCTGGGCTCAGGAAAGGGTAAAAAGGAGAGAAAAAGGAGGCCATGACTCAATCCTGTCTCTGCTTCATTGGGTAGTGACGGGCAGCCCGGACCCATTGTTCGTCGGGTTACATGTTCGCTGCCCCTGGGAAGAACAGTGGGGCTAGGGCTACGTCTATGCTTCCGCACTTTGCTTTCGTGGCTTGAAATATGGGACTTCTGATAGGAAACCCCCAAAGAGCTAGAGGAAGGACTGCCCGAGGGAGAGTCATTTTTTTCCTGGTGGGGAAACTGAGGCACGGGGCGGGAGCAGGACCCCGCAGCTCATTTCTCCCTGGACGCCAGGATATGGCCTGGCTTGGGGTGGCATTAGGGACCCACTAGAGTCTCTTCATGGAATCAGTGGCCCTCCGTCTCCCCTCCACTGCTAGCCCCATTTTCCAGATGGGAACACTGAGGTCCACAGGTGACAAGGCAAAGCCTCTAACAGCAGCAGGGGCTTGCTTCCCTGTGTCCTCCTCGCTCTGGCTGTGTCACCCAACACAAACCTGTTGAACCCCGTCCTCCCTCCAGAAGCACATGCATTCAGCCTCCCAACCCCAACATGCCCACTCTGAGCAGGCAGCATCCCTGGGGACCGCTGGGGAGCACAGCGGGTAATTGTCCTGTTTTCTGTCCGCCGCCAGGCAATTCCAGGCTCGGCTCAGGGCTGAGCTGATGACAGATCTCATCAAATCCGAGTCCTCACCCTGGCGAGTAAACACGGGCGTCTGAGGTATAAATATTTGAAAGGGCCTTCTAATTACAGCTTGTGTCAGGAATAGCAATGAGAGGCCCCGCAGGCGGAATCAAACGGCATTTGACTTTCCTGCGCTTTTGAGCTGGCTTCTCCTGGGACTGCCCCTCCACCGCCAGGCAGGGAGCCGGGAAGGGGGTGGGGAGGAGCTGGAGGAGGGGCACAGGAGAGCCGGGCTGGGCATCCTGCGACCTTGAGGTATGACCTCTGAAGCCACATGACCTCTTGGGGTTTGGCTTTCTGATTGGAGACCAGGGAGCGGTGCTTGGAGGGGGCCCTACAGGGACAGAGGCAAGAAGGTGGGTGGTCTGGTGTCCTCCCTCCCCCCAGCACCACCCCCAGGCGGTTCAATAGGGCTCCTCCCGGGTGGGGCTCAGCCTGCCTGACCTTGGGCAGTGGTTTGGAGTGTTCTCCCATCTTTTCTATGGGAAGGTAACAGCTCACCTTGTTGAGCACTTATTGCCTGGCACTGTTTGGGGCACTTTTTATTTTTATATAATGATTTTTAGAGGGAGAAACATTGATGTGAGAGCAGCAACATGAATCCGCTGCCGCCTCCCCTCCCCCAACGTGGATTGAGCCCATAGCCTGGGTATGTGCCCTGACCAGGAATCTAAGGAGCAACCCTTTCGTGCACCGGATAACACCAACTAACTGAGCCACACTGGGCGAGTGGGCACTTTTTAAAAAGATATAATCCACATACTCTACAATTTACCCGTTTAAAGTGTATACTTGCGTGGGTTTTAGTGTGTTCAGAAGATGGCGTAACCCTTTCCACTATCTAGTTCCTGAACATTGTATCACCCCAGATTTAGCAGTGACCCCTTATTCTCCCCGAATCTCTATTCCATGGCATCCACGAACCTACTTTTGTTCCCGAGGGTTTGCCTGCCCTGGACATTGCACATAAATGGACTCACACACTGTGTGGCCTTTCACACCTGGCTCCTCCACGGAGCATCATTTCCTAAGGCTCAGCCATGTGGCCTGTGTCGATGCTTCAGTCCTTTCCATGGCTGAGCAGTGGTCAGTGCGTGGAAGGAGCAGGTGCTCACTATGTGCTTAGAGTGGATGGGACCTCAGGAAGGAGTTGGGGGGGACCTGGCTGGGGGCTGTGCCTGCCCCTCTGTTCCCACTGGATCAAGTCTGGAGTGGGGATGGCACCCGCTGGAGCCAAAGCAGCAGGACAGAAGGAACAAGGCAGGAACGGCTCACT